TGTAGTTTAGCAAGCCTGGGCTGGATTCAAACCTGCCAGCCTCTGGCGCTCTACCCTAGTTTTTCTATTTTTAGTAGAGACTGGGTCTTGCTCTTGCTCAGGCTGTTCTTGAACTCCTTAGGTCAAGTGACCTACCCGCCAAGGCCTCCCAGAGTGCCAGGATTAGAGGCATGAGCCACTTTGCCGGGCTGAAAGTCTCCTTATTTCAAACAAGTCCCATCCATTTAGAAAGATAAAACCAGCATCAAGCAAAAGACAAAAATCCCAAAGTAAAAGATTAATGTATTTGTCTATGCGAAAAAATTAAATGTCTCTACATTAAAAACAATATAAGAAAATAATAAACTATCAATATAAGAACAGAAAAAAAAAAGGCTGCTGTTCTTGCTATATATACCCTATCTTGCAAATCAGTAAGAAAAAAATACTACCTGCAAAAGAATGGGGTGAACATACCCAAAAGACATGAAAACAACAATATATGAAAAAAAATCAAATGGCCTATATATCTTTAGGCAGTCAACTTCCATAGTAATTAAAAAATATAATCAAACAACAGTGAAATGCCTTTTTGTTTTTGTTCCTTTGCTGATTAGCAAAGTTTGTTTTCTGTGTTTATGGGGATTTTTGTTTGTTTGGTTGGTTTTTGTTCTTTTGGAGTTTTTTTGTTTTGTAGTTTTTTGAGGGGCTGGGTTTGAACTTGCCACCTCTGGCATATGGCGCCAGCGCCCTACCCCTTTGAGCCACAGGCGCCACCCTGTTCTTTTGTTTTTTAAGAGACAGAGTCTCACTCTCGCTCTGTCACCCAGATGGGAGTGCAGTAGCAAGATCGCAGCTCACCACAACCTCCAAGTCCTGGGTGCCAACTCCTAGGCTCAATATCCCCCCTTATAGTTAGAACTATGTGTGTATACTACCATGTCTGGCTCATTTTTTCTTTTTCTTATAGAGACAGAGTCACTCCTGTGTTGCTCAGGCTCATCTTTAACTAGCAAATCTCCTACCTTAGCCTCCCAAAGTGCTAGGATTATAGGTGTGAACCACCACACCCAGCTCAGCAAAGATTTTTTTTTTTACAAGGATGTTATTCAGTGTTTACCAGGGTGTGAGGGAACGAGCAATTTCACATTTTGTTTATAAACTTCTTTGGAGGTCAATTTGACTATATGTATCAAAAAACTTTAAAATTAAAGAGAAAAGAAATAAAAAAAAAAAGAAAGAAAACTTTAAAATTTCACATACCATTTTACCCAGTGATTCCACTTTAGGGGGTTTACCCTAGTGACATAGTCAAAGGACCAAAAGGTACATATGTGGCTTGGCGCATGTAGCTCAGTGGCTAGAGCGCCGGCCACATACACTGGGCCTGGCGGGGTCGAACCCCGCTCCGGCCAGCTAAAAACAACGACAACTACAACAACCACCACCACCAAAATAGCTGAGCATTGTGGCGGTTGCCTGTAGTCCCAGCTACTTGGGAGGCCGAGACAAGAGAATCACCAAAGCCCAAGAGTTTGAGGTTGCTGTGAGCTGTGACGCCAAAGCACTCTACCGAGGGCTACATAGTGACACTCTGTCTCAAAAAAAAAAAAAATGGTTTATATGTAAGGATATTCAGTACAGCATTTTAATAAAAAGCATAATATTGGAACTGTCTCCATGTCTGATAACAGGAGTTAAAGAAATTATGGTACGGGCTCGGCGCCTATAGCTCAACCGGCTAAGGCGCCAGCCACATACACCTAAGGTGGCAGGTTCGAATCCCCAGCCCGGACCCACCAAACAACAATGACGGCTGCAACCAAAAAATAGCCGGGTGTTGTGGCGGGCGCCTGTGGTCCCAGCTGCTTGGGAGGCGGAGGCAG